CACAGTTCCTATGTACGATTTGAGAAAAGATACGCGTTTAAGAGCGTCAAGGACCTTTCTCTATAGCTATTTCATGAGTGTACCAAGAAATGGACGATAAATTCTAATAAAAACGGAGCAATCGTACCTGCAGTGGTCTTTAATATCGATCTTTCGCGATAAGATATTGTCTAAGTCTTTTGAAGTCCTTTTTAATCGTGGCAAATCCTTCTAATTTCTTTTCACGTAAAAATCCTTAGAATTGACAAAAGATCTTTAACTATTTAAAAATTTATATTATACATTATATTATAATATTTAAAAAAATAATTATACTTAATCAAATAGTAACAAAAGGAAATAATAAATATGATATAAGTCAAAATATGAAATATTATAGAAAAATTATAAAATTATCTAATCATATGCAAAATCACATCGTAGAAATAAAATGAGGAATTTAATCTTTGAAGCAATATTTTTTTTCTCGTTTTTTTGAGATCCTCTGTGAGCAAGCTAATTTTTCTTGCATCATTAATCACTATATTCACTTTTATTATAGGAGAAACTTTCAATTCCAGTCATATTTTTCTATCGTAAAGACAATAACACAAAAAGCCAATTTAAATAAGAGCATATTTAAATAAGAGCATTATAAAAACTGTTTGATAAAAGAAATAACATAATTATAAGTTAATTTAATTAAAGACGTAAGAATTATTAATAAAAAATGAAAGGTATAAAATTTAAATAAAAATAATATAGATATGTAATATTTCTTTTTCTTAAAATCTTATTTAGACAAAATTAACAATAATCTATTTCTTTTTATTTAGGTCAACATCACTATAACTTTCTCAGGGCCAGTGCACCAAGCTTTAACAACCGCGACGCCATCAACTGTCGGGATGGTTTCGTATCCAGGAAATGTGAAGATTGCCCGAATTTCTCCCAAATATCTACGCGTGGCGAAACCCATTACAAAGCCGCATTCCTCGTTAACTTTCGTTCTGAACGGCTCGAGTGCCTTCAACATTACCCAACGAGAGGGCATCATTTATGTATCCAACGAGACTAAACTACGATCGGAGCCCAACATCGTTCAGTAAGTTGTCTATTTATCGCAAATGCCTTGATGTCTTGCGAGAGTAATTAAAATTATTCTTAGCAATTAGACGGTTATTTTTGTATATATAGATAGGACGAAATATTAATAATTTATTCATTATTCTGCAGTATTTTTGACTTATGCACAAATAATACAAATTACAATATTCTATATTAATCGATTTCATATATAAAAAAGTTGTAATTATTATATATTAAAGTACTCCTATTAAATTAATGAAAAAACAAATTACATATTCAGATACTTAAATATAATCCAACGATTTTTTCCGCCCAATATTATAGTTTTGTCGAGTATTTAAATATTTCAATTATAAACGCTCTTACTTTTTGCGAATATTTTCACTAAAAGAAAGCCGATAAAATTTTAAATATTTAATAAATATTTAAATAAATATTTCATAATATATATTGCTTTGACTGGAAATATATTTTCTTTCGTAATTTTGAAATTGATGTAAAAAACACTATAAAAATTATAAACATAAGAAATAATAAAATTATTGAAAAGATTTCGTTTCGATTACATCAAGCCGATAATTGTTGATACTTTGTTCGTCGAGTAAATTTTCTTGCGCGTAGTGTGATATTGATTTATTCATCAGATTATCAATAAGATGGACCAGAGTGAATGGGTTCGAGACAATTAAAACCCTGCAAGTTAATCTAGTCAACGTGTCGCAATCGAAAGTTATCACGTGTGGGCGATCGGTTCAGAAAACACATTCATGCGCGAATGCGGAAACGCGCGAAGAATGCGAAAAATCTTGCGGAATCGGTAGTGGAATTTTCAGGTATGTTACTATTTATTTTTTCTTGAATTAAATAAATATTCGAGGAAACATGTTATGTTTTTTTAGACGATAAATATGATAAGAATTTATAACAGGAATCTTATCTAACTATAGATCCAATATTTTTTCTTAATATCGAGCAATTAAAATAACGTTTGTTTTTTATTAATATAACAATCCATATTGGAGTAATGGAATCGTATTTATATACTCGAAAGAATAATTAATAGATATTATGCTTGCTATATTAATCATTATTAAAATAACAATTAATTTTTATTGTTATTCGTAAATTATTACATTTATAGAATTTTTGTTGAATAATTTTTCTTATTTCACACTACTAAAATATTCTTTTTAACTTCTAAATAGTATAAATTCGATATTAATGCGTTTAACAGTAGAAGCGCGTTTTATAGTGTTTGTATTTCTTATTTTATAATTATAACTTTAGGAAATAATAATTCATTTCTTTGCTTCTAATATATAAAAAATTTTCATAATGTTTTTATCCAAACTTATATTTTTTTAAGAAAAGTCTAGAAAAAAATAATTGTTTAGGAAAAAGTACAAAAATATTTAAATCGCTTACAATCTAAGTTTGCCAATAGAGATAAAAATTAGAAGCTATTGTTCGGAAAATACGATTGGCCAGTAGCTTATATGTAATAAATCCTTTTGATATCAAACCTTCACAATCATCTCGAAATTGACGATGATTTTCTGCAATCAACTGGAGACACTGGATCGTTACTTTCATTACTTTTCCTCGGAAGAACAGTCACATCGTCACGAGGCACATTTCATTGTAACAACTATTTCGGATAATAGCACGTTCTAAGTTTATGGTTCCTCCATTAGGTTTCACTTTAACTCCTTTTCTGTGTTCCTTTTGATGATTATCGTTTTCTTTGTGATAAAGAAAAAATTAATCGAAGATTTATTTTTTCTATCCTTCTTTGAAAATGCAAATTATGTTAAAAAAACATTGTTTATTATCAAAATTGTTTAAAAAACTAAAAATATCTCTCTATTATCATTTAATTTATTATTATATTTTTTACGTATTATTTAATTTCCATATTCAAATTAAATTTTATTATGGAATTAAATATTATTGTTTTTTTCAATAGATTATTTTTTTTTTAATATTAATTAGAATTGTTTTAAAGTAAATAATTGGAAATGATTTAAAGGTAAAATATTATAAAATAATTTATAAAGAATTTATAAAAATTAAAAATTTTTGATTTGTCAGAACTATTTCCTTATCCTTTGCTATATAATGATCCGCGTAATGAAAGAAATCCTAAATTCAGTAATTTTGAGAAGTTTATGTGAACTTTTTGGTATTGCGTTTAGTATTATGTATAAATAGCAGTTAATATTATATGTATAATCATAAGAAAAATTTTAATAATGAATTTATACACAGCAAAGGCAGTTTCGTCGATCGATGCATTTGGAGGAGCAACAACGCTACTCAAATGTCGGAATATTATTCCACCTGTTCACCGAATCTGTCGTTCTGTCCGGATAACGAATGCGACGAACTGGAACGCAGCGTTCCGCACATATGTCCGCAAGACTGCACCGTCGAATGTGAGTCGCATGCATTGTTTCGAATTAACACGGTAAAGCCATGTCGGACTAAAACAATATGCATGAGAATCTCTTGCATCACGTCGTTAATAATAATATAAAAAGATAACTTGAAGAAAACAGGTTGTTTAAAAATTTACAGCGGCAATTGTAAAGTACTTTCACGAGAAAAAGAGAAAAAAATTTATTTGTAAAATATTCTCAAAGTGTCAAAAGTGTTTAGATTTCAAAATTAGATTTCAAAAACGATATGGATTGAGATGTGGAAAGAATGCAAGTATATAGAGTCCTGCCTTAGATCTTCAGATCCAAATATCTTGGCACAGATACTTTCGGTTCTTCTCGTTCAAAAGCCTTCCATTTAAAAGGATTTCGCGTTACCGTTGTAACAGTCGCGTCTCATCGAAAGGGCTTTAAGGGCCATTGAAGAAGGATTACTATACTCACCTCCGAGAGGCACTCGATCGATCTGAGAGTGGTTGTGTTCGCGTTTTTAGCCGACGTTTTCCTCGGTCACATGAACAGCAACGGCCATGGCATAAAGAGTGGCCTGAATACCTGCAGCTGCAACAGTCTGCTGCAATGCTACTGCGGGGTCGATTCTTTTTCGCAACAAGGAAACGATGTACCCGGGACGTCCAGGGAGGAACGAGCCAAAAAACGGGATCGCGGAAACGAGGTCATCGTATCAGGCGCGCGCAAAGGTCTGTCATCGAATATCTTTCGCCATTTCCTATCCAAATAAAAAGCATGCGTGTCAGACGATATTAAATTCGCGAAGAAAAGTTATTGAGCAGTCCAGCTGTTGCGTAAATTTATAATAACTTTGTATATTAAATATCTTAATACATATATCTTTATTTACTTTGGATTCTCTTGGTTAGAAACAAAATTTACGAGATCCTCTCTCTTGTAATTTTACATCAAACAGCTTATTTTTCACTGTCAGACGGTATTAACCTTTGTCCTTTTGCTTCTATAGCATCCAGCGGACCGTGCGGTCCCACGTGCATGATGGGCGTCATTGGGGCTAGTTTGTTTGTGTTGATTGTAATCGTGGGATCATTTATCATGTGGCGATATAGGTAAGAAGACAAAAAATTAAGTATATAAGATGACAAAAATATTTTTAACAATCTCGAAATTGTATGTAATATTATAAAAATTATTAAAAATATGTTTCGTAAAAATATATGATTTTTTTTTACTTAAAAAAACTTTTTTTACACGAAAAATACAAGCTTAAATAAATTTGTTATTGACATTATATAATTTACTAATTTAACATTTATTATTAAATTAAAATCTAAATAAAAATAGGAGAGTTAAAGATTGTTTGGAAAAATCTAATAATGTCAGGATGCAACGTGATAGAACGTGACAATATCTTATTAGTCTTTTGATCCACATGGATCCTAGAAGGGTTTAGTGAACTATTGCTTCTGAACCAGTGGTTTGTGCAGAGCTTATCAGCTCAAATCTTACGTTTACTAGGAATTAAGGGCATTGTGAACCTTGCAGTTAACCGGGATTTTGAACATAGTTTATTTAAACTTTCCGGGTCACAAAAAACGTAGATTTTCCGTAGAATAAAAGAGTAAACACAAAAATTATAATATATATTTATCAATTCTAGAGTAAAAATTTTCAAAATATTATTTTTAAATATTAAATAATGCGCAAATAATATAGATCGATATAAAATTTTTATGACTGTTTGAAAGACGAGTTTATCATCAAATTTTATTTAAAATCTGTGAACTAGCATATCTTTCTTCACGTTACATAATGTAATTAGATATTTGATATATCTTTAAATTTTGTAACTTTTAGACATCAAAGGATTCATTGTAAAAATACAAATCGAGAGAATTTTTCACGAGAGGAAAGAATATATTTGTTTAACTTGTCCAGAAGTTAAGTCGGACTCAAAAGTTCTCGCAGAGAGCGAAATTGCGAAAGTTTCAATGATATGCACGCTTCGCGACAGCACGTCCTTTTACATTTGCAGCTTGCAATCGGTTAGTTTACTTTTATTCCTTTTGAATTTTTAAGTTTTTTATGTTATTCGGTTATTTTATGTTAGTACGTGTTCATCATTTTTCTTATGGCAATTTTAAATTACGGAGAGTAAAATTAAATGTCTTTACCTAAAAAATTTAACAGTACTTCTGCCAAATAAATTTGTATCAAACGAATTAACGAAAGATATTGTGAATGCATGTATATGCCTTGTATATGCAATTCAAACTCACAAGCCCGTAAGCTATCTAAACTTTCGAATTTGGGTCAATGTCTACTAGAATTTCCTTCCGAGAGTAACTGGTGACCACAATGGACTAACTTTCGCTAAGCTGCATTAATGCATCTTGAATGATTCAATCGAAACAAAGGAAAAGAGATTAAACGTATTTTATTTTGTGATAAAACACTTATTAAACTATTATTAATTTTTTTTATTCCTTTGTAATATTAAAAACTGTAATTTTTAATATAATTATAAAATAACGTTATCATAATAATAATTATTGTAGAAAAATCTAAACTAATTTGTAACATTATAATTATATCGCAGCATAGTTATCTCAAACTTATCGCCACAGTTATCTCAATTCCAATTATCCTATTTCACTCCACAAACCAAAATAGCCTCATAAGTCAATATAGATGGTCTTCCGCATCGCGATGCTCTGCGTTCCAGGATGGCGGCAAAGGGCGCTCGACGAGAATGCAAACACAGGGTGGACGATGCGGCAAATGGTATTGGTATTTTGCCGTCCGACTACATCGATCGTGGCGATGGCCTCCTGATCGGTCTGGACACGTTCACGGCGGCAAATCGTCATCTTTTGCTGCCCAAGACATGCCCGGTAAGAAATCGTCTACTTTGTTCAAAATATCATATCGATATATTACCCACTCGAAATGGAAAAATTTAGCACAAGAATGAGATAAGCCTGAAAATGACGGGCTCATTCTTACAAAATTGTCAGTTAAATATTATTTTATTAAAAGACTTCCATGCTATGAGATCTCTATTTCATATTATTAATACGAAGAAATAATTATGTTTACGAGGAAAATATCAAATGATGTTTACTTGATAAAAGCATAACAGGATACATATTTTTCTGTTTGCAACAGCGAATAATGAGTTCGTTAAAATTATGACGATTTTAATGCTCGATATATTACTTTTTAAATCGACGTTATCTAAGATGTATTCTGCAAAGTTGGTGGAAACTTTCTTATTACTTTAACGCCGGTTTTACCTAGCCGCAGCTTTCCAGCAAATGATGCAAGATAATATTCTTTAATAATTCTCGTATAGATAAAATTATTTCTATAATCCGCTTATATCCCGGATTGTCGCATCAGCTTTCGAGCCAGTAAATTAATTTTAATCTCGCAATTTGTAAGCGAATGTCTGAATATGACTCAATGGACATTTATGATGAGAAAAGAAATTATAATTTTAATAAAAACCTTTTTTTGCCTTTCCGCGATTTTCTACAAGGCACACGTTTACATCACAAAAAAATACCAAAAATAAAAGAGATTGATCATATATCTGTGATCGTAATAAATTCTTTTCATATATGAATGCGAGGGAAATTTCTCTTCTTTAATTTTTCTAGTCACGTATATGATAAAATTTAATAAAACCCCCCGCTCAGAATTATATCGATTCGAATAAAGTGGTAGCTGCATCTTTCCCAAAAAATTTTTGCACGGAGGGAAATCTCACGGGGGAATAAATTTTGCACTTTTATTTATTTCTTTAATAAGTCCCTTTTTCGCGAGGAAAAATCATAAAAATCGCCCTCTTTCCGCACGTGTGTCTTCCGCAACTGCGCAACACTGCGATCCTGTAGATTTCACCATGCGGACGCCTGCCGCACGTGATACGCCGTACGTGCGTGCTCGCGTGTTAGCGTGCAGCCGCGTAATCCCGCAAGCGGCGTGCTAAAGCGCGTAAGCTCCCTCAGCTTTCCGCACGGAGAAACGCGCAGCTCCAAGAGAGTTGCTTCTCGGAATCTAAACGCGCGTCGGAAACTCGGCCGAGCCTCAAGTAAGTCTTCAAGTTCGTGCAGGATATATTTGTTTGGTAATGCCACGTTGCTCGCGCTTGATCTCGCCCATCTCTTAGAGACGCGTCAGATCGCGGAAGATGTACTTCGGCAAAATAGACGCTGCGTAATTCTCGGGAGAGGATGGCAATTCTCGAGTGTCACATCCTTTTGAGAAGATATAGCGGCCATATGTAACTACCGATGGGAGAATAAGAGATATTTGAGATTAACTTCAACTTCAAGTTTAATTTTGAAGATCTCTCGAGGACCTTATTTATATCTTTGAAAAAAGTTGATGCACCGTGATTGCACCGTGCAAATTGTGTCAAGGATGGCACGAAAGGAGACTTATTATCATCGCTTTATTATTTTTTTATCAAAGTCAATTGTTTCTCATTCTATCGCATTCTTTGCATTACTTTTCGACTTGAGCGATTGCACGTTTCTCGCGCTACGATCCGGATAACGACCTTGGCACGTAGAACCCTGTAATTTGCTTTGAATGATATATGCAAAGAAACTTTATCTAACACTTACGCCCATCACTGATTACGAAAACTTGTTCGCACCACTCTTATTTGCCCCGAGAGTTATCTCGAAATTAAAGTTTAACTCGACATCTCCCGCATCTGCAACAATTCCTTATTTGGCGTAATTAACAACTCTTGAAGCTATGAGGGTCATCAGAATTTTTCGCAAAGGATCAAGATCTTTTTAAAGTAGAAAGTATCTTACTTTTATATATGTATCTTTTTTATTTCATAAAGAATCTAGTTAATAAAAAAAGAATTTTCAATTGAATTCTTTCTTTCTCCTTTTAAAGAGAAAATGCAGTTGTGGCATCTCTCCCTCAAATATTAGTTCCAAAAGCTTGAAATATGCAAATGAAAAAATGCAAAACAAACATATTTTAAACATAAAATTATAGAATATATATATTTAATATTAACTACATCTTGTACATATAATTCAGTTTATATTGTTATAATGTTTGTTTAAACACGCGGCGGAATTCCGCATCGCGATAAATTCCCGGAATTATTTCCGCGTTTGTAAGTCGCCTGCATTCGTTGCAGCGTCGTTCATTTAGACGTGTATATGGAAGCATCGTTGGCAGAAACAACAATAGTTTTATTGTATTGATAAAATAATATTCATTACGCAAACTTATCTTTTGTCTTTCTTGAATAAGAAAAAAACAGAGAAGAGTAATAAATGCATTTGCTTCCACAATCGAAAATGAAAGAACGCATCGATAAAAATATCGATGAAAAAGACAAGTAAAGCTGCGAAATGTGACGGAAAGAATTCACGATATTTCTATTCTTTGCGTGTTCTTCTTGAAACGACACCAGCAAGATAAAGTCACTTTTATTCAATAAAGTCGAAACGAAGTCGGATCACTAACATGGCGTGTGCGATTCAGTGAAGGTTTATGGGGTAAAATCTTTCGTGACGCATATGAATTCATCGAGAACACTTACGTCATATAAAGTTATAAAACTTTAATAATAATAAATTATTTTATAGCGACTCTTTGACCGGAGAAGAGAGTAATCTGCTTTAAGCAGATTAATACGCAGCATCGATTTAATCATATTAGCTTCTTGTTTATGGCAAATATAATATACTTGATAATTCTATTTGATGATTGCTAAATCAAAACGTTATAACCATGTCATATTAACATGCCTGCCTGAGTTTTCATTACTCCAATAAATTCTAAATATTGATTATTCAAAACAATTTTTTAGTACAAAAAACAGATATTAAAAATAACTGATGCAATATCGAAAATCTTAGATTTGGTATAAAATTCATGTACCATAAGTGCAGAGGATGGCATTTCGATTCGAAAAAGCCGGGGAAAACATCTCCCAATATTGAGTCTTTGCAAAATGAAAAAGAATGTATAAAAATATCCGTATTGTCATATTTTCTAAATACATGCTGGTTAATGATTTATGTAACATTTATTAAGAGTAATCCTTTTAACTAACATTAACCTTGTTCTAGGAACTCGTAGCAAATTTCTAACGTAATATATTAATATTAATTTAAAGTAACTACTAATAGTGAAGTATCTCTCATTAGTTACGTGATCCTATTATCATTCTTGAACCGTCGTTTAATTGGGTATCCGCTCGCGTCCTTTGCAAACCAACTCGTGCGAAGTAATACCGAGCAGATATCGTCTGACACGAATCTGGAAACATGTTCCTTTCAGCGAGGTGTAACGCCAGATTAGAGAAAATAGGGCTTTTATCGTAACAAGCCAAAAAGGATTTATTAATCGATGTATACGTGTTCTCCATTCTTGTATTTAAGATCTCGGATACTTTCTACACGTATTATAAAGAAATAAAGCGAGAATTAAAATAGGAGATAATTAAAATAACTAACCAGATCATAGGCGTGTTATGTGTAAATAAATCAAACTTAAAGATAATATAAATATAGTCAAAATATTAATGATGGAAAACTTCTTTTTAACGTCGGGACAGGAAACCAAAATCATTTATCCACGTTAATTGAAGTTAATTTGCGATAAAATATCAAATTGCTCACGGACACATAATCTAATTTATGAATTTTCGCGTGGAATTTCAGCCGGATCCAAAATGGGAATTCCCGAGGTCGCTACTGAAGATCGAGCAGGTGCTGGGCGAGGGTGAATTCGGGCGTGTTTTGCGCGCCAAAGCTATGAACATCGGCGGAATTCCCGGTCCTACGACCGTCGCAGTGAAGACCCTGAAGGAGGACGCGTGTGCGTCCGAGCTGGCGGATCTCCTCTCCGAATACCAGTTGCTGAAGGAAGCGCAGCATCCGAACGTGATTCGGTTGCTAGGCGCTTGCACGACACCGCAGGGCGCGCCCGTCTACCTCATCATCGAATTCGCCGAATTCGGCTCCTTACGGTAAGTGAGTGCCGTGATATATTCGACCGTTGCTGTCCTGACAACGCTATTTATGGCCTTTCCGTTTTACGAGCTTCTTATCGATAAAAGTCCTGCTACGCCGGCAGGAAGCGAATCGACGGGATTCGTGCGTCATGCCGATCGAAATCGAGTTTTACGTGCAGACAACTCTTCCTTTTATCATGTAATAAATAATATACATCTCTACATCTCTTCAAGATTGTAGAGCTTTTTATATTTATTTACGTTTCACTATTTGTTATATTAACAAATTTTTTTATTATAACAACGCTTTGAAAATATAATGAATATACAATTGTAGTTTATATAAAATATTATTAAGTAATTTGTAATATGCAAAATATAAATATTACAATTAAAAATAAGTGGAAAGATTTCACACGTAAAAAATTTAGATTTTCAAAACGGGAAATTAAATTATTTCGGGAAATTAAAGATAAAGATTTCTCTTTTAAGTGTTAAATGTAAAAGGAAAGGAAAATAAATAGTGGCATGGATATTAATGCTCGGTATTCGTAGTCCGGTATTCTCATTGTCTCGTTATAAAAGAGATAACATCAAAAGTCGAGATGTTTTATTCTGTTTTCTGGCAACGATGCTTCCATATACACGTCTAAATGAACGACGCTGCAACGAATGCAGGCGACTTACAAACGCGGAAATAATTCCGGGAATTTATCGCGATGCGGAATTCCGCCGCGTGGAATTTCACTCACTACCAGAGGATAATAACCTTTGCAAAACTAGTTGCTCTCAGTAATTAAATTTTTCTACGGGTGAGATGGGTGACATGCCAGGAGATCCATCCAAGTTTCTCGGAAACGGATGGATTATTGACCATCAATTTTCCGGTTAGTACTCGCGGTTTATATGATGAATTTACATGAAATTTCAGCAACTATCTAAGACGCAGCCGGCATTTGGAGTCGGAGAGTAGAATACCTGCACCGTCGTCTCTGCTTTCCACTTCGCCGATCAACGTCGGCGAGGAATCGCAATGTAGCGATAACGCATTGAACTATACCATAACGCCGCGCGATATTCTCTCATTCGCCTGGCAAATAAGCAAAGGAATGGCCTATCTTGCCGATATCAAGGTAAATAAAACCCTTTCCTAATATCTATCAAATTATTTGAAATTACTTCTCATATTTATTCTCATAATTTATAAAATATTTAAAGTAAAAATATTCAAAATAATTGTAATTGTAAATTGTTGACTGGAAAATTGACTAACTAGAAATCAGAATGCTTAGCAGCATTCAAATTGACTTTCCTTATAACTTAGTTAAGAAAATTTAGAAGCAATTGCAATTCTCTCTGCAATTCTCCGGAAGAGAATGCGAAAGTCGTGAAATGAAATGTCGCAACTCGGTCAAGTCATTAGCAATTAATCAAAGTTTCCTCCGCACTGCAGTTGGTGCATCGGGATCTTGCGGCGAGGAATGTTTTGCTCGCAACCGGCAAGGTCTGCAAGATCTCGGACTTCGGCTTAACTCGCGATGTGTACGAAGACGATGCGTATTTGAAGCGAAGCAAAGGACGAGGTAAGATCGTCCACTAATGAATAATCTACCCTAATTCAAAGCTCGCGGACTTCCTGTTAGATCCTCCCGACATTGAAATATAACATTGCAAGTTATAGCAATATATATTAAATTAAATATTTATTTAAATTAACGTTCAATAATATAGGTAAAAAAATGTAACTTGCAAATGAACTTGTAATGAACACGAAATAAGTCCCATAAGTCTTATTAAATAACACAATGAAGGATCTAATTTACCAAATAAAAGGTATCACAATTCAATATTGAAAAGGCAATATTGCAAAGATGCAGGCAATTTTTTAGCAAGCTTGATACTAACAATCCTAATTCAACCGCGACGGAGTAATCCGGCCGTAACTCTCGGCGGATTCGCGAGAGAAAAACACCTTTAATGACTCGCGCGAGCCCGTGCGCGAGCTCGTACTTCGCGTTATCCGAGGTTTTACGATTCGTGCCCGCAGTGCCCGTAAAATGGATGGCGCCGGAATCCCTGGCCGACCATGTATACACCAGCAAATCGGACGTTTGGAGCTTCGGCGTGCTCCTATGGGAGTTGGTCACGTTAGGAGCCTCGCCGTATCCCGGAGTGGACGTGCATAATCTCTACAATCTGCTGAAGGGCGGATACCGTATGGAAAAGCCGGCCAACTGTTCGCAACAGTTGTAAGTGCTTAACCATCGTCAAATGCGTTATCCTCTTCCAGTGATTCGAAACGTGCGCGTGCGTTCATCAATCTTGAGGATCATCAATCTTGAGCTCACTTTAGAAATTTAATTCCACTTAAATTATTTATTACGTAAAATCCGCTTCCTATATAATTATCTTCCATCTTCAAAGCTGTTTGCGCTGATTATCTTTAACAAAGCAATTATCATTTCTCTTCGGAGTTGTCTTTGTATAAAAAAATTACACGGAAAAACTAGTTGGTTCACTGTATCAAAATTTTGCTACAAAATGAACGAGATCAGAGATTATCAGATTTCTGTTTAAATTAACCAGAAGTTCTATTAATTCAAACTGAATTCTGATAAGTTTAATCGGAATTTCTGATTCGTTCATTTTAAAACAGAATTTGGGTACAGTCAACTATTCATGTATTCTCTGTTATCATATTTTTCTCTCTTTTTCTTTTTTCTTCCTAATTTTTTTTTTTAGAAAGTATAATTTATTATTATAATTTATTTAAAACTTAGCTTTTTCTAAATTAGCTCTAATCGTGAAAATTAACTAATAATGATAAAATCAAAAAAAGCTAGGACAGCACGTGACCATCACTTATACGATATTCATTATTATTAGAGACTTGTGAGTAATTATTAACAAAGGGAGTTCATGATTATGTAGCGTGACTTCATATCACATGTG